AAAATAAAAAGAATAAACAAATTACAAGAAAGATTAATAAAACCAACATATACATCGCATCATCAAAATTTAGATGAAACGAATCTTTAACCGGTAAAAATACCCTGATAGACCCAATATGAATGTACAATCGATAAAGAAAAGCCTCATTACAAAACCCAATAACCACAATTAACAATAACTACAACAAAAATTCAACTAAAAAGCCCTTAGAACATATCCACCGCAAGTCCGAACTCAATAAAATAAATTACCGCCAAATTAAAAGAAAAGACTAAGCAATCCCAACACATACCATTATTTTTAAACGTATTAGAGACTCGAACTTTACATTCATAACTCGAACATAAAATCAACCTTTATTATTAATAAACTAACCACCTTAACCCTCAAAAAAAAAAACTTATATTTCTAACGCATTAAAAAAATAAAATAACTTGCTACGCCTAACCTCAGAACCTGATTGGCCAATACAATAAAAAAAAACTCCCAGCGCATGAGCAGGCGCACAACTTGTTAAAAAATATATAATTATATATTTTTTAGGAGCCGAATATATTTTTAAAAAATTAAAGTAGATTATCTTAATAAAATTTTGTTTAATAGGGAGTTTCAAAATTAAAATCAGAGAATCTTATTTTATTTTTCCGACTTATAATTCAACATAGTAAAAATGCTGTTGGAAAAATCTTGCTTATTTTCAAAATGCGTCAACTTATTTGTTAATTTTGAAGCCCCCTAATTTATAAAATTGTCCCAAGTACAGTACAACACTGCTGACACGGATAAACTCCGTTTTATCTGAATTATAAATGCCACTAATTTATATCGTTAATGATATACCAACATGTACACAAATGGGATCTTTGCTATAAAAATGACCCTCCGAGGCTAGGTTGATTTTGTGAATAAAAATTAAATTTGCCAACCATCTAGTTATCCAATTTGAATGAACTTTTTTTTATTTTGTGGAGCTAAATAAACTCTACAAAATAAAAAAAGATTATTCGAATTGGATGACTAGATGGTTGGCAAATTTAATTTTTATTCACAAAATCAACATAGCCTCGGAAGGTCATTTTCATAGCAAAGATCCCAAATGTTTAGATCTATTATTTGTTGGTATTTGCAGTGATTTCTTTGAATAAACTACAAACAAAACTAACTTGATACGGTATATAAATGAGGTATTGTATATCTATTTGGGACGTTCGCCCCTTAGTTTTCCCACAAAAAAATTTTCCCCTCCCACATGATTTTAAACCAATAAAATTTTCGGATCAACAAATAACGCAAAAGTTAGAAAAAAGGCGTTTTTTTAAAAGAAATCGCTCTTATCTCAAAAAAATTACATATGAAACAATCGCTTGTGCTCTAACAAAAATGTTCCATATGAGATTTTGCTACAAATTCCTACTCTAACCTCCCAAAAAAACAATTTGAATTGCGAAAAATCACGTGGGAGAGAAAAATTTTTGTGGACCCACACGACCATGCATCTTATTAAAATTAGCAAACTCAATCTCATTGGGAAAGCAAAAATTGACAAAAATGAAAACAATGAAAAATTAGTGCTTATGTTAATTTACCTAAAAGGAAACGTGGACTTAGTGGATCCCATATTTGGATGGTCTACCCTGGAGATCTTGTCAGTATCCACGACAACAATTTTGATGCATCTATAATAAAAAGATCAAAAAAGTAGTTTCGGCATTTTCTCTGTAACGCCGCGTGTCTATATTTGTACATTGTGTAAAAGTTTACGCGTTTGTGTAACATGACATAGTTAATTAAAGTGAAGAAATTTAAAAATTCTATAAAAACTAGCTTTTTGCTTTTTTTGATCAACATATTTCTTTTTTTTTTTTTTAAAGAACGGGTATGTCTCTAAACCCACTGCCAGCACCTACTGTAAATTTATTTATTTCTTCGTCTCCGCACGAAGAACACCAGTATCTCAATCTTATTAGACATATAATCGATCACGGTGAACCTCGCGAAGACCGCACCGGTACTGGGACAATATCCGTCTTCGCGCCACCACAACTCCGATTTTCTTTACGCGATAATGTTATCCCACTTTTAACTACTAAACGTGTCTTCGTGCGAGCAGTTATCGAAGAATTACTATGGTTTATCAGGGGCGATACAAACGGAAACCACTTGGCCGAGAAGGGTATTCATATTTGGGACGGTAATGGTTCACGTGAGTTCCTAGATAAAGTTGGATTGTCTCATAGAAAACCTGGAGATCTAGGTCCCGTTTATGGATTCCAATGGCGTCACTTTGGTGCAAAATACGTTGATTGTGACACAGATTACACAGGTCAAGGTGTTGATCAACTTCGAGAGGTTATTGATAAAATTCAAAACCACCCAAATGACAGGCGTATTATTTTAAGCGCATGGAATCCTGCTGGTATGTTCGAATGATCGATAACATGATTATGCAATTGATTTACACGATCGATGGATTAGGCAATTGATTTACACGATCGATGGATTAGTGAAACCAAAATTCAGCAGATCGATCAAAATTTAGGGTTGAAATTAATCGAAGCTAGCGGCATTAAGCAATAATACAGCCAAGTTTACTGCTTCCGACCCGGAATTTGGTCGATCTGCTGAATTTGGTTTGTTAATCTGATAACTAAACAGTTATCTAAACAGTTATCTAAACAGTTATCTAAACAGTTATCTAAACAGTTATCTGATTCTAATTCTACTTTTAAACTATGATTAGATTTAAAGGAAATGGCATTGCCTCCATGTCACATGTTCTGTCAGTTCTACGTGTCAAATCCGAATTCTAAAACGAACACGCGAAGCCTTTCATGTCTTCTTTATCAACGTTCTTGTGATATGGGTCTCGGTGTTCCTTTCAACATTGCAAGTTATGCACTTTTGACAAGAATGATAGCTCATGTTACAGGTCTTTCACCGGGTGAATTTATTCACACTATGGGTGATGCACATGTCTATCTTGATCACATAGACGCGCTAAAGGTACAACTTGAACGAGAACCCCGAGCATTTCCTCGTTTGGAAATTAAACGCGAAATAACAGATATTAACGATTTCAAATTAGAAGATTTTGAGATAATCGGATATCAACCATACGGGAAAATAAAAATGAATATGTCTACTTAAATATCTATACAATAATTAAAGATATTTCGGAATTTTGTTATATGATTCATTTATTTTGTAAAGCTTGTTATTTACATATTAGACCCTTTTTTTTTTACATGATTGGTTTTTATCTTTGATATTCAAGTTATAAAATGCAAAAAACAATTGATTACCCTAAATTGAAGACAATTATTATTGTGGTTTTGCTTTGCATCTTAGACTCTTCCATGAAATATACTTTCTTCAAGTCCAACGGTTGTCAACAACAATTCCTTAACCTCGGTTGGTGGATTCAACCCAAATTTCCTTGCTCTTTCCCAACGATCTAACCTTTTTAGCCCAACACACGGTCCATATTTATAATTCAAATCAAACGCTTGAAGGGCTTTTTCAGTCTCTGTGAGGCCCTCATCATGAAAAGCTAAAATGTCAAATAAAGATTAGATATAGTTCATAATACTATTTAGTTAATATGTGGGAACCTATTCTTTACCAGATATAGTCTCATTCTGTATATCACTTTTATCTGAACTTT